ATATATATATATATATATATATCTCTAGATAGAGAGAGAGAGAGGGTCAATATATATATATATATATATATATATAGGTGTATTTGAATATAAAGAAAAATATATTTCTGAATCGTATTGGGAAGTAGGTAGAGTGGTATCAGATAAAAAGTTCAAGTTGTGAACTAATGAGAAGACAAGGAGTTTATGCTGCATACATTCTTAAGGAACATCTTTCAATCTTGTATGCTTTTTAAAGAGAAAGATGTGGACAGAGACAAAACCTAAATAAAAATAAAATATAATAGTAAGATGGAATGGGAAGATGTAGATCATAGGAATGTAAAGATACATTTAATAGGTAAGCAGTCAAAACACACAGGACAACAGGGAATTTGTCAGAGAGGACAAGGTGTAGTATTTGCAACATACACAGATAAATGAGTTCAGTCAAAACATTTTGTGAAAGTGTGGAGGGATTGGTTTTAAAATACAGAAGTTGGAAAAGAGACAAGCAATGTCAAAAATAAAAAATAAAAATAATTACAGAAATATAAAAGGAACAGTCAGCAGAATTTTACCCGCAGAATTGAGTTGAACAAACAAACAAGAGATTTAAGCATCAAAACAGAAAAAATATTGTCTGGAGGCAAAATAGGAATCAGAAGAGTAAGAAGTTGGGTTAAAAATATGAACAAGAACAAAGATGTGAAAGCTAGAGGGAAAGAAAATGTTAAACATTGGGCTTTGGAAAGCAATCAATAGAGACTAAAATGGAAGCTGTCTGCTGATTTGAGCCAAGCCATTAGTCAGCCAATCAGCAGCTTCTATATTTGGGATTTCAATTACCCTCCCGCAGCCCAGAATTAATAGAACAGAGTAATTTCAACCTCTGGGAAATATTCAGGTGATGGATTTTGGGAATATCAAAAATACATCTTTCTTTTCTTTATTCAATCATACTTTCAGGCCAGCAGTTTTACCATTTTTATCACAATGCACACACGAGCCAGTATTAGAACTTATAACTGGTCAGCTTTTATAAAATTTAAATCCGGGATCCAATTGCAGACTAATTCTATTTTAACAAACCCTACATCCTATTTTTCTTTTGCAATTTCTATGCATGGCTGAAGAAAGTGGAATCTACTGGTTTTGAATTCAGAGTTGTCCTTCTCCAAGATTGGTTGCCAACTTAGGATGGAAAGCTTAGTCTGTATTAAGATCTCAGCCAGAATTTGAACTCTTGCTTACCAATTCCCTTTTCTGTATTGTTAGCCATCAGACCACCCATAATTCCATAAAATTTAATAGACTATTTCAATTAATTTTCTAAGGCATTGTACGGTGCATTGCATTTCAGACCTATGCATACTGTACAGATGGATTTTAAATTCAATCTCTGGATGAATATCAGACTTTATTCAATAAAAGACTTTAAAATTAAATAAATTTAATTCTCAAGTTCAATTGTTTAAGTGCTATATAAGGATAATCTTGATTTGAATTATCTTTACTTTATCTACCTGTATAAAAAAAAAAGAAATATTAATGTAGAGAAATGGTTAATAAGGTAAACTATACATTAATCATATAAAATTCCATCCTTTGAGTGATCCAAAAGTAAAAGAAAAAAAATAATAAAGGAAATATCTGGCATTCATTGAAAAAGTGGCCAATACTATTTTCAGTTGAAATTTATAACATCTTTCTCTTAAAACAATTTTTCAGGAATATAGGTTTCTCAAGTTCAGTAGGTGTTATCATTCTTTCCTGTATTGATGGGGGTTTCCTTCCTAACCTTTTGTTTGGAATAGTGTGGAATGTCCATATTTTGATTATATATCATTATTTTCTCTTTAAATTACAGGTGATATCCATTTTAGTTGTTGCTGTTTTTGAAAGTCATCAAGTGACATTTCTGCTATCTGGTACAGTTCTTTGTTGTGATTCTGCAGTGCCAGTCCACAAGGTTGACAAGAACCACAGGCTTTGCTCACTCAGAGCCATTTCTAACCATTGATCTGAGAAAGTGGTTGTATACAGATGACAGTTTAAATATTTCTGAACAAGTTCAACATCAAGCATGGCATCCATATAAAAGTCTCAATCTGACAAAGTTATTTAATTACATGATTAGAGTTTTCAGGTTAATGTTTTGGTTTTGTAGCAATTTGCATATCTGTTCTATGTTTACTTTCCTTATCTTCTCTGCTAAATTTGTTATTACTGATCCATATGTGTTATATTAATCAAATATATGTACTAATCTAAGTTGGCAAGCAATGAATATTATATATATATCGTTGATTGCCCCATCTTCACAGATGACTGCCATCTTGCTCATCAACACTTACATTCAATCTAGATCATCGTTTTCTCTCAAATGACTTCGAAGGTGGCTCTTCAAACCAGCAGCTACACACACACACACACACACACACACACACACACACACACACACACGCGAAGTGATTAATTTTCTGCCCACATAAAATGATAATCACACATGGTAAGTGAT